GATGATGTCACTCAGCTGAGAGTCTATGGAGCACTCGCCACAGAACTTGTCTTGAGCATTGAACAAGTAGGTGTTCTTTTTTTTTTATTTTTGAAATTTTATTTAGCTACTGTTTCATTTATAAATATTATTTAAACAAATACAATTAACAGTTTGGTTGTTTATATTTCCTCAAGACCAAGCCGCAGGCACCACAGAAACTGCAACCTCCGCAGAGACTCAAGCAGCAAACTCTTCAGATTCACCATCAGCATTTCCACCAGAGAAAAAGTCGGCCATGAAGGAGTTGTTTGGAGAACTGTTCATTGCACAGAAGCCAAGGACCAGGTCTGCAGCCGAAGTGGCAGAGGAGGAAATTAACTTGTACAGGTTAGCAGACTGCATTCCCACAGATGATAACCCACCGAGATGGTGGAAGGAACATCACAGCTTGTACCCTCATCTTTCCAAGTTGGCACAGTGTTACTTGGTTGTACCTGGAACCTCTGTGCCAAGTGAGAGGGTGTTTTCCACAGCAGGTGACATTGTCACAGCAAGCAGATCTGTACTGTCAGCAGAACATGTGGACATCCTAATTTTTCTGAAGAAGAACATGGAAATTGAGTAAACTATGTTTTGGTTTGTATTTAACAGGACCTTTTATTTAAGTTGTTTATGCTGTATAAGCAGCTAAGTGCTAGCATTCCAGAAGATGAGTGTTAGGGGAGGTCCATTAAAGAGTGATTCATTTTATGGGTACCTGATTTGTTATATATGCTGCTGAGAATATACCCCAGAAGAAGGGTATAGAATAGCTTTTGTTTGTATTTATTTTTTATTCTTTACATGGTGTTTTTTTTGTTTGTTTGTTTTACATGGTACCAAGTCTGCACAACAGAAATATGTGAAGTACAGCTTTACCAGATTTAAGTTTTCATGCGTTTTCTGTACACTATAGAACATGGTTCTAAAAAAAATTTTTCATGTCAGGGATTGGGTGTGGTTGTTTTATATTATGCCAAGAATAGAAAATACCATCAGGGATTCCCAAACAATGCAGAACTGTATGTGGTTGATATCTTGTTTTTAGAACATTTAAAATGTTTAAAAATATATTTAGGAAGGCATTTCTGTGCAATACATATTTTTATTTAAGTTGTTTTTGTTGTATATGCAGCTAAGTGCTAGCACTCCAGAAGATGTGTGTGAGGTGAGGTCCATCAGAGAGTGGTTCATTTTATGGGGACCTGATATGTTCAATATGCTCGTGAGAATTTACCCCAGAAGAAGGGTATAGCATAGCTTTTATTTTGGAAAAGGACATTTCTCTGAAATAAACTCGTTTCCAAACTCTTTTATTCTTTTGTTGTTTCAGCAACATCTCATTTAAAAACTGTATTTGAGTTAAAAGAAATATTTATAATCTTAATAAATTACAAATTAAAAAAGGCATGAACATTTTTTGTATCGAAAAAATATCGAACCGTGACACCAAAGTATCGAACTGAACCGAACCGTGAATTTTGTGTATCGTTGCACCCCTAGTGAATATGTCAGATAGCAACAGACAGATCAACCCTCAACTCTTCTATTAAACTGATTTTGTACATATTTAAATACTGACTGCTACATTAACATACAGTAAACGTTTCAGAGGAATTGACTGAAAGCTGCATTACTGTCCAGAGAGTCACAGAGTTAGACATTTGGGGACTATAGACTGTACTGTATACTGTATACACATATTGTAAATGAGATATTTTATAGAGTCACCTTGAGGAAACTATATAAATAAAACTGAATTTAAATCCATGACAAAATCGCAGCATCTGTCCAAGCATACTGATGGGTGAAAGACTGTAGTTAAAGTTTACTCTGAAATCACGAATCAAGATAAAAAGTTCAAGTTGACATGTCAAAGGATGAGACATCCATCTATCAGGCCGAAATACTACTAATCACAAAAGTCTGTTACAACTCAAAGCTAAAGCTGTGGTCACTCGACATTCTACATTCTGGGTAGAATGTCATGGTAATGAGTTGCTTGTAGCAGTTTTTTTTGCGGAGTTATTATACAGCACAGATCTTTAAAGTCTTAGAATTAGACGCATTAGTGTGAATTCATTTAGGATTTTCACCAATCCACACAGGGTCAAAATCATACATACAGGCTCAAATTTATACATACACTCACTTAAACCTGAGTGTACTAAGTATAAGAAAAATGACATGTGAACATGTTTCTCACCATATTCTTGGGCTGCTGCATCTTCACTGGCAACTCTTCTTGTATCCAGGATGAGTTTAATGTTGACTATGACGGTTATCAGCAGAAACAACACGGCACTGGCCTGTAGGATAAAAAAAAAATGTATCAGTGTTCATCTTGATGTCTGTAGTTAGTTAATTTTGATATTATTAAACTCTACAAATGGTTCACTTAATTGCTGATCTACTGGCACTAATGAGTCTTGATTTCTGTTGTGAGATTCAGATGGTATTTATTTTACTGTCATTTAAATGCGACACCCAACAAGTATTATTGCGGACCACATCCCTCCCTCTATGACTACTGTGTGCTTATTCTGACGTCTGTTTACAGGACAACAAACCATGTTACAAAGCTTAAATCAACTCAAACTAGTTTCTTGAACATGACAATAATCTCAATGTACTCAAATGGCCTCCACAGTTACCAGATTTCAATCCAGTGGATTGCTTTGGGATGCAGTGGAATGGGAGATTGAGATGAACGTGCAACCAACAAATCTGCAGCAGCTGTGTGATGCCATCATGTCAATATAAATCAAAACCACTGAGTGTTTCCAGCATCTTGTTGGATCTATGCCATGAAAAATTAAGGAAAATAGGGGTCCAACCCAGTACGAGTAACGTGTAACCTTCAAAGTGCCCAGTGAGTGCATCTAGGAACGGGCACTGATATAATCAAGCCAGGATATGTCTTGCAGCCTTTACTTTGAAAGAGCACCTGACATTTCGTTTACCAAAACTTTTTGGCAATATGAAACCATTAAATATGAGCTAATGTGGCTTGTTAAATGCAAAATAAGCGAGAAAACAGGACAATACGTTTACTTTGCTGATTTACAGCAGCAACATCACTCTTTTGCTGAGCTCTATCAGTATTTACCTGACAGAACCGGCGAATCGTCCTCTTGTTGGTCAATTTGTATTTCCAGGTGAGATAGAGACTCCTCTGTTGACGGGGGATGAAGGGCTTAGCTCGGGGATTGGGGGTCCAGGTCTCCATCCCGGACACCGACAGCCGCCTGGACACAGCTCACGCCCTCCGCCTGCTCTCCTCCACTTTCTGCAACCGGGACATGCACAACTCCACACCACCAAAACACGGCTGACTCTTACATGCTCATCTGAGCTAAACAAGAGACGCGGAAAAAAAAGGCACTGTGCACAAATAGTCACCAAGTTTAGCCGACGACACCAAACTGCCATGTAACTGTACGGGGCTTTAACATGCTCCAGCCGCCTCTTTTCTGTTCGCGTATGAACATCATTAATCACGGAGTCATCAGTAAGTCTTGTAGTGTCATTTATATTCCATAGTAAGCAGCTGCTTCTAGAAAAGTAGCTTTAAACCGCAACATACACAGAGTTTCTGTCGCAGAGCAAAATACGTCACAGAGGTCCTCTTCCTTCTTCGTTTTTTAAATAGGCAGAAAAGACATTGGTGTATTTCTGCCCTCTACTGGTTGTTATTCGAGTTAACGCTTATGATTGACGTTAATTTGTTTGTTTGTTTTAAAGTAAGTAAGGTAAGTAAGAGCCCGCTTTCCTTCGTATTTTAAAACTTAGAAGGACTTAATGGGAGCAATAGCATTGTGTATTTCAAGTTGAAATGTCACAACAATAACAACAACAACAAAATAGCACTGCAGCTTTTACAGTCTTTCTCTGTTGAGCTTGCACGATCTCTCCAGGAACTCCAACTGGTGATTCTAGATTGGCTGTAGGTGTGGATGTAAGCATGATGGCTGTCTGTCCATGTTAGATCATTGACCGACTCTAGACCCGGCCAGGGTGTACTCTGACAGCCAGGATGGGCTCCAGCCCCCTATGACCCCAAATTGGATAGGAGAAAAACAAATTGATTTACTTATTATTTACCAGGCCAACTTTTGCCAAGTTTTCTTAGTTGCTAATGTTTAGAGAGGTCACATATTTTAAAGCTAAACATCCATGTGCAAAATGATGACTACTGCAGAGACAGACTTTCATTTGAATACATTTCAAGTGTTTTTAGTCATATACAGATAACAGCGGCACATCACTACTGGCAATGGAATCCTAAATATTGTACATAGAAAAAACTCCAAATTGCACATAAAGTAACACTCATGTATATATAAAATATAATAAAAAATATATATATATGTTGAGAAACAGAAATTTAAAAATATGAGATGAGGTGCAACTCCCCACTCCAACAACTCATAAGAAAAGGCCAGCTTCACAGAACAACTGAAATGCCTGGCACTAGTTTATTTGGGACAATGCCAAAACAGCAAACAAAGGTTTAAGTTCCCTCGTCTTCCCTAACTGAAAATAAAAGGCAAAGAAAGACAATTTTTATTATCTTTGCTCCTAACCAATAAAAAAGAGACAACAAGATTAAATAAAAATGGCTTCTTAATCCCACTACTGCTGCAGTTTATAACCACCTACTGGAAATAAGTCTGACTGCTGGCATTATAATCCAAGCTCGTACATAAAGGTACCGAATGACCGGTGATGGGTGGCCCAACACCCTATTTCCATACATAGAAGGGATGCCTTCCAAGAACATGGTAACAAATTAGGACAATTTCTAGCTAACCAGTCAAAATAAATTAAAAAATGACTATATGTGCCATTAAAGACTCATCTGGAAGCCCTGAAAAGTATGCCCAATAATAAACATAGATGAATGCATAAACATAGATTACTTAATTTGATAGACACAGTAAAAACACTGAAACCACAGTATTGTTTCTAAATGTAGAAAAAGCATTTGATAGAGTTGATTGGGTAGGGCTCAGCCTTTAACTGTGTGAACTTCATTTATTTAAACTGCACTTTGAATGGAATGACTTTGAAAAATAATTTCAAGAGGAATTCAGTTTAGACATCATCTAGTATGACCTCACCTGGATTTTAGCCTTTTGATGGCTTAAAATATCTTACGTCAGGTAAAGAAATCAAAAAAGTATGCAATCAACACTTCAGTTTCCTGACTAATACTTTGGGTAACACCCAAAATTAATCATTTGCTAACCTATCTTGCTAACCTAATTAAACATACACGTGGCAGTATTTTTTCATGAGAAGTAATAGTTCACTAAGTTCAAAGTTCATCATTTACAACAGTACAGAAGTTAAACATGACTGACTTTTATGGTGCCACACCCAAAGAAACAGTCCAAAGAAAGGACACCAGTGCTATTTAGAAAGCAACTGAGTTAGAAGATGAGGTGAGTAGCAGCTTTTCTGTTTTGTTTTGTTTTTGTTTTTTTTTGGGGGGGGGGGCGGGGGGCGTATGTGATTTGAATATTTAGAGAACATTATATTTCTTGAATGTGATTTGTTTTAATTTTGAATCCCCATAGTTCTTCTCAGAGTCAGTCAACGTTGGAGTCCAAACTGGAGGCTCTGCAGTGCCACTTCAACTGGAATCTGGACTGTAGCAGGTCCACACTTTTCCGTCTCAAGTACAATTTGGAGGACATTGGCACCGAAGAGGGGTACAGCTGGTTGGGTCACATTTATAACTTGCAGGGGTTCATTCACTACCAGCTGGGCTTCAGTGAAGATGCCCTGCGTTTTTTCAGCAGAGCCACAGAAGCCTTCCGTCAGATGAGAAACACAGTATCAGATGAGGGTCCCTGGCTGGTAGTGAACTATGGGAACCTGGCCTGGCTACACAACCAACAGGGAGAACAAGTACAAAGTCAGAATTACCTGTCAAAAATTAATGCACTGATGAATGAATACCCATCTCCATCCCAGGATGAACTCCATCCAGAGATCTATGCAGAAAAAGCCTGGACCCTGATGAAGTTCAACAAAGAAAAAAAGCTGCTGGCTATAGATTACTTCCAGAGAGCCATCAGGATGCAGCCTGACATGGTGGCATGGCGGACCAGCTATGTGTTAGCATTAGTGAATGCTCATAACAATAGCGACCATGCCATCGTGGAAAAAATGAGAATCGCCAAAGAACACGATCCAGAGAACTTGTACCTTGCTGCTCTTTACCTTGATGCATGTCCTCAAAAAGGAACAAAAATGAAAGATGAAGTATGCACATTGGCCAGAAGAGTTTTAAAAAAGCCAGTTAGCAGCTACAGTGGTATCAATCCGGTACTTATGCTTTACAGTAAATATTTATCTGTACATGAAGCTATTGATTTGATAGAAGAAGCTCTGGAAAGACATCCAGATGAACGTTACCTGAAGTGGTGTGCTGCGAACTGCTACAGAAGTAGGATCTTTTCCAGGCAGACAAGAACCAATCTGCTCGAGCGCAGCATGATTGACAAAGCCATCAGTCTCTGTAAGGAGGTGATTTCGCTTTACCCTCATTCTTCACTTAACATGAAAATAACTCTTGCAGACATGTATGTAAAGGTAAATAAGCAAGACAAAGCTGACCAGATATACAATGAACTGCTAGAAAGTGACCTGGAATATAAGGAGCAACAAATGCTTTACAACAAATATGCAAAACATTTATATTTTAATGGAAAGTTGATTGATAGACAAAATTCAATAGAATATCACAAGAAGGCAGCAGTGATACCACACCAATCCTTCCATCGTGAAAACAGCATTACAATGCTGGAGAAATACACTAAAAAATATGGTAGCAGAGAAATAGAGGAATTTCTAATCAAGCTGCAACAGTAAGAGCTCACACTAAAGTTACGAAGAAGAAAGAGAATAAAGATAAAGAACATTTACTATGCTGGCAGTCTAAATGTTTGCAACGAAACTAATAATAAATTATTATTGATTCAGATATTGTTATAACAGTAACAAGAACATACGTGACCTGAAAAAGAACTTTATTGATTGTAATATTGTTCCATTAATGTTGCTGACTCTTACCCAAATTTTGCAGTTTGCATTTGTTTTTTGTTCATTCATTTAATTGTGTTTTACATAAAAGGTTTAATTTTGAAAAAGTTGAATTATTTGTTTTTAAGAGCTTTTGTATTTGTTTCTTGTTATCCTCTGCGGCTGAGACAATCAAATGAAGTTAACGGAAAATGATCTGGAACAGTATGACACCTTCTGAAATGAGATCATAACAGTTATGTGTAAAGGAATGCAGAGTGATCAGCGAACATCTCCAAGCTGGCACGGGCTCATGATGCAAAAAAAGAAGTGAGCAGCTGCACGGTGGATTTCAAGCAGTACTGTCCTCAGCTTCTCACAGACAGTTTACAAAATGTGCACATCGACAAAGACTGAAGCAGATCAGGGGTATCAAACTGATTACAGGCCACATAAAGCCACTTTGATCTTAAGTGGACCAGTGACACCCTTTTTTCTGTTAGTGTAAAGAAGTCACATCTTTAACTGCTTTTCTACATGATAAAGAAAAAGCTGCTGTGAGAAAGAAAGAACTCTGTGACCACGTCTTTTTGGACTTGAATTGTAAGAAATAAATGTGTAAAATTACTGAAAAAGCTCTGGTCCACTCTTAGAAAGAATAAGTTAAACATTTTTTAATTCTAATATAATGTGTAAAACACTAAATATTTAAAAATGTGCACTGTTTTTGTGTTATTTTCAAAATCCAGCAAAAGCAGGATCTAAAACAAGCAGTTCAGGATTAATGTGTTTGTGTTTAAGTATATATTAACTATTATATTCTAACAATATAAACTGAATGAATGTAAATATCCAATTATTGTTTTTTTCACAGTCCTACACTTTTAATTTTTATCAAATCATATATTTTATGATTTAATGTGGGCCAAGGTGTGCATGGTATACTAAATTTGGAAGAATAGGTAATAAATTAAACTAAAAGAAGCTTAAACAGACAAGCTGGAAAAATAATCAAATCTTGCCCAGGAACATGACATATTAGTAGCGGGAAAGGGGCGGTCTTTCTTCATGCCACTCTGACAAAGGACACAAAGAGGGAGGCTGTCTGGCTTGAAATACTGTAAGACCCTACAGTAAGTATCCCTTAGTAGTTTAGCTTAATGTAATGAAAAAACATCATAGAAAAGTGAAATTGTAAAAAAAAAATGAAAATACGTATTTCTGAAGGCATGTGATGTTTTTAGAAAAATTATCGTCGTATGAGGAGGAGTTTTGAGTTCCTCTAACTGGCTAGCTAACTAGAGAGCTAAATCAGGGTTAAAACTTATTTAAACAAGCGATTTCACACAGAAATTCTAAGTTTTGAAGTTTAAAAAATTAAAAAAATAAAATTAAAATGTGTTGAAAACATGAATTATTTTACTTTGAATAAATTGTTTTCTTGCATTTATTTAGTTTCACAATTTTTCTGCTTCATTTTCTTTTTTATTTCAAATCTAATTTTTTTAGTTTCAGGTCATTTTTAATGCAGTTTCAGACTTTTGACCATGATTTTGTGTAACATCAAAAATGTTGCAAAGTGTAAAGGCGTTTTA